CCTTCAACTTTCCAACCTCCGTATCGGCCGTCTCATCCTTCTTCGCCCGACTTCATCTTGTCCGACCTCCGTATCGGCCATCTCATCCTTCTTTGCCCGACTTTATCTTGTTCGACCTCTGTATCCATCGCTCACTTAATTTACAATTTCTCCTGATCCAGACCCATTTAAGACCCAACTACCATTATCAAGCCATTGGACTATACATCAGTCCAATTTATAAGCCCATTCTTAAAAAACCCTAAACATTGGTTTTTTCCACTCAACAACTTGCCTCTTCCCGCCCGACTCCTAAGCATCACTTCTCGGACTGTGTGAGATATGACATTTAGGGGTTTATAGCACAGTGCTATCATTACACTGTTTAAGGTCACATCGTGGGGTTTATGTAAAAACCCTTCTCTCACCTTTCCATACTCACGCACTCAAAATCCTGAAAACCCTTATTTTCTCTCCAGCAAATATCCTCCTCCAAAATCCTTTCTCCTTCGTTCTCTGCCTATCCTTAAAAAATGGCCAATCAATATGTCCCTGCTCTCCCTTTCGATGGCACTGAACCATCGGTGCCCTTCGTGGCCTCGAGGATCCTTACCCCATTTGCCCTTATTGCACCACCAACAAAGATGCTGATCGTATGAGATCTGTTATCTCTCAAGTTTCTCCAATAATCGTAAATGACGTCGCGTTCAAGCCGGAACATCTTCTGGACAACATCAGGACTGACCTCACCGATCCCAGAGATGCCTACCGCAAATGGTACACAAGACTGCTCCCCCACTATCAGGAACAATGGCGGAGGCAGGGAATCGATAAAGCCATCATTCTATCAACTCAGCCCCTTCATCTCCATGATAAGGTTCTGTTAGCGATGACGGCTTTCTGGCACGCTCAGATGGGAGTTTTCTTTCTCCCTTCCGGTCCCATTGGCCCAACCTTTATGGACGTGGCCCTCATCGCTCACTTACCCATAATGGGTGATGATCCTGTCCTGGTCTCCTTCGAACGCTGGGAGCCTTCACCCGACCACACTGGTTGGGCCCTAACCAAGCTTCCTGAGAATGAGAGAAGCTGGACCAACTTCGTGACCAAGTTTCTGGGTGAAGAAGGCACCCCTGTCTCTGAGTTGGAGCATACGATGTTCCTTCTTTTTTGGTTGTGCAGGTACACTTTATTTTCATTATACTTTTTCATATAGGTTCAAAGTCAAATATTTAGTTAAAGTTTCCTTTTTTCACATATATATAATTCTTTCTCCCTCCAAGCTTGTTCATTCTTCTCAGGTCGATTTGGCCATTCATCTGGCCAGCGGCCAATTTTTTTCCTTAGGAACTTTATTTTTGGCCAATCTTTTTGAGGGTTTATCCCGAATGAGCACCCGCCTAACTGACACCAAGAAGGCGGATGCAGCTGCTTCGGGACCATTTTGGTTCCTAGAGCTGTGGCTCCGTCTTTATTTCCCGAATGCCTTTTTGGCCGACTACCTATCACCCTGAACCCCCAAAGGTCTATAAGTTATGCCTTGGCCAGGTTAACTCCTAGTTCCTCTAATCTCCATCCATCTGACCCTGTCATCACCCAAATTTTAACCGAAGACAGTAGCAACTCTCGCTTTTATGTATATGAAACCCTTGTACAGTATACTACCGACTTTTTTGGCTTTACCCCGACACACCATATCCCATATCTTATCCTGATCCTCTTCCGCATCCAACTTATCCCTTTTTCTGGGATTCCTCCATGAAACCCCAATCTCTATTTTCCAGTAAAAGGTCGGACTAGAAAAATCATAGATCATTTTATACCTTTAATTATCAACCCTAATTCTTGGCCCGACAGTTTGGTTGTTGTCAAGGTCTGACGGGACCACTAGCCTGACCTTACCTTATACCTCAAAGCCCATAAGGGCTGGTGATCCCCGAGCTCATCACGACCTACCTTTCCCAACTCACCGACTACATTACCTCCAACTCTTACTTACCCTTCCGCTGTAAACCTTCGTCGGCTGAGGCCTTCCCGGCCTGGTTGTCGGCCACCTGGTCTCTGATTGCTCCTCCAACAGACCAATTGGTTGGAAAGCTCCTTCCACCCCATCCCTAGCGTTGGGTTCTCCCCGATTGATCTCTGCTCCTACAAGAAAGAGACCGGCGCCTGCCGAAGGCGGATCCGGAGCAAAAAAGAAAAACCAGAAGACTGCCCCTGTCATCGATAGGCAGGCCATCAAGGAGTACCTGACATATTTGCTAGTGGATAGGAGCGGGCTACCGAAATACTTGAGAGAGCAATTTGGTAAGTCTTTTCTCTTTCATGTTTCCTTTTCAATGTATGCCCCTTTTTAACTTTAATCATTTCTGTTTCAGAAACCCCTTCACCGCCGCCGACTACTGTCCCAGTCATCTCTTAATCGACCGCAACTCAACCAACCAAAGCTCAGCCGACTACCCTCAACCGACCACGGCTTAACCGTCCACTACTCTGTCTTCTTCTCAGCCAGTCACAGTCCCGATCGCGAACCAACCGACCGCTGCTCCATCCACGGGACTGCCAGTGACCCGTCGGGAAGAGGACACGACGGTGAGGCAGTTAACCTCATCAACTTCTACTCCGCCTACCAACCAATCGACCGCCGCAATATCGACCCCAGCTAACCAACCAAACGTCCCATATCTGCCAGCCGAGGTAAGTTATTTCCTTAATACCTCTAAAGGAAATACTTACTAAATTTTGCTAACTTTGTCTCTCCTCTTTATAGGACAACCCTAATTCTCCATGGGCTACCCCTCAACCGACCCCCCTTTTCTACAGAAGGGGAGCTGCCAATGATCCGTCGGCCAGAGGACCCGGCGGGGAGGCAAACTTCTCCTCTGATTTTGCCTTCATCCGCTCCTCAACCATCACAGGTAACTACCAAGATCTTTCCATATGGTTCCAGAGCAACCAATTTTGAAAATATCTAACTCGTGTATCATTATTCTCAACTAGGAACCTGATTTGGTCACGGCGGTGCCCGATCAAGTTGTTGCTCTGTCCGACCAGATCGCGGTATTGCCCGACCAAGTCGCGATACCGCCCGACCAGATCGCTGCATTGCCTTTGCAGCCAGCCGCCCAGCTCTTGGGTGAGGATCGTCCGGCGCTCTCCAACCAGTCCAACCGATCCCACCGCCTTAGGACATAGAGGAGATCTTTTCCTCGAAGTCGGGTGAGGCTTTAGTCAACTTTGCCTCAAGGGGTTCGGTTAGTATTCTTTATCATTTGCTTTCTAACTTTTATCCCTTCCCCCTTGCTTAATTTTCTCCTTTCAGGGAATGGAGCTGGCCGTCGGCCATCGTCTACAACCAGCAGACGAATCGGTCGCTGGCCCGACGACTCGCCATGGTGCCCTTACGGTGTTCCAGCTCATGGCCTTTTCTGAGGCCACGGCTGTTCTCAATCAAGTAAATTCCATCTTTATATTGTAATTAGTACGTTGCATTCCTCCATACCTTAATATTTTTTTTGTCTCAGGCTGCCCAGGAGATGAACGTATTGGCCAGATTGAACCTCCCGGCTTCGGCCAGATCCATCATAGCACGCTGTACCGACCTGTCTTTCGCCGACCTGAGTTCAGCCAACCATGAGGCTTTAATTCAAGTCACGATAGATTTGTTGGTGCAGCCCACGCTGGAGTCGGGAGCTCCCCCCGTCCTCGATCGGATGATGGCAAGGATCACCGAACTTCAAGCCGAGCTGCCTCTGATCCGACCTCCATCGTCCGAGGCCACGTCATCTCAGCCGACCGCTGATCCGGCCAGTCTTGAGGCATCTTTGAAAAAGGTCGACCAAAACCTTAATCTTGCCAAAGCTACGCTGGAAGAACTCCGACAAGTGCGACAAACATTGGCGGCTGAGATCTCCCAAAAGACGGAAGAGCTCGGACGCCTACAAGAACAGTTGGAGACCCTGGATGGCAACATCCAGGAAGGGAGCCGCCTGGTGGAAGAGCATTGCCAGACACAAATGAGTCTCTGCGAACAACTTCAAACTAGCATACGACTAAGACTTGTCAAGGGACACCAGGAGGCCTACCAGCGTCGGTGGGCCACACGGTCGGAGCTGAAGTGGGCCGACCTCCGAACCACCCTTAGGGCCTGCTTTCTCTTTAATCTTGATGTAACATGTATATAACTCCTAAACTTAGTCTATATGTGCATCCTATTTTTCAGAACACAGATCCATGTTTTTTGCACTCTTACCAAGTCCAGAATTTAAGCATCACAACACGTATATATACTCCATATCTCCACTGCAGACATCATTAACATCCAACACCTTATACTCAAAATGGTTTCTTCTCGCATTCGTATTCCTTCTTCCAACTGGGAAAGTTCTCTGCAACCATTCCTTGTGGGTGAACACCCTGGAGGTCATCACGCTGAGGACATGATACAGGTGCTCAAAAAGCTGGACTTTAAATTTAAATTCTCGGGCAAAGGTAGGAAAACCATACATCGTTCAATCCGCCTAATGGAATGTGTATCCACCAGTTATGAACCTTTTTTACTGATATACTTACTCGCATATCCGATCTCGACCATCATCTAGATATGATAAACCATCATGTCTTGGCTATTCTCTCAGACCTTAGCTGGAACAATATTTTCCATCAGCAAAGATCAACACTCTCTAGGCTGCGTGTTCTTGTTGAACAAGAAAGCCAATCTTTACAAGATACGAAAGTCCGCACCAAACAAGATCTTCAAGAAATGCAAGATCAATGGAATCGCTATCGTCTCGACCTAGATAATCTCTTAGACGAGGAACCTGAAATAGTTTCTGCGAGTTGGGATGAAACCTCTGAACCAGAAGATGATCATGTTCGTGTCACCATTTCGGATGACGAATAAAACCCCTCCCTGTGGGTCTGAACCCTTGAAGGATTCTTAGATTTTTGTAATAACAAATTTATGACAACACTCTGAAAAGGTAGGAAAATACCTTTTTCAGATACTTAGCATTAATATTTTAATGTACCAGCTTCCCTTCCTGATTTACAATAATAAACGCTCCATTACCAATTACTTTGTAAATGACGAAAGGACCTTCCCAATTGGGGGACCATTTCCCTAACTGGTCCACCTTTTTATACGTTGGCAGAATTGTTTTCCAGACCAAGTCTCCTTCTGCAATGACTTTTGGGGACACCTTTTTCCCATAATATTTTGCTCTAATCTCACTTTGTCGAACCACTTGATCCAGAGCATTCAATCGATCGGTGTCTACTTCCTCCAATTGTTGCCACATTCCTTGCACATATGCCTCGTCATTGCTTACAGTTGTATTAGACACTCGGGGTGAAGATACAACAAATTCAGCAGGAAGTACAGCATCTTGCCCAAACGTTAATTGGTATGGGGAGAATCCAGTAGAAGTATTTCTACTATTTCGGTGGGCCCACAATGCCTGAGATAACAATGTGTGCCATTTCCTTGGATTTCCCTCTACCATTTTCGGATGATACCGATGACGATTTTATTTGCTGTTTCGGCCAACCCATTAGCCTGTAGGTAATACGGTGAAGAATGATGCAATTTAATGTTGAACTCGGTCAAAAACTCAATAAATTTTTCTCCGGTAAACATCAGACCCTGATCGGTCATAAAGGTCTGAGGAATCTCAAACCGATAAATAATGTGATTAAGTACAAACTCAATCACTTCTTTCTGCGTCGCATTCTTCAACGGGACTGCCTCTACCCATTTGGTAAAGTAATCAGTTGCTACTAAAATGAATGAATGTTGCTTTGATGACGCCGGATGAATTTTCCCTATTACATCCAACGCCCAAGCCTTGAATGGCCACGACTTAACCATCGTATGGAGTTCCACTGCTAGCAGATGATTTAATGGACCATGCCTCTGGCACTCCTGACACCCTTTAGCAAATCTGATACAATCATCAAATATCTTTGGCCAATAAAATCCCATACGATGAATAGCCCATCACATGTTTAATCCTGCTCTATGTGCCCCACAAAGTCCCCCATGAACTTCTTCCTTTACTTTAATGGATTCTTCTGGTCTCAGACATCTTACTAATATTCCTTCAAAGGTTCTCTTATACAGAACCACTTCTATAAGTTGAAAACGTAATGCTTTCAATCGAATACCCACAGGAGTTGCAGAATTCGGTGATTCCAAATAAACCATAATTTCTGTCCTCCAATCGGTAATCGTATCAATGTTACCAACAATTATGTGTTGACACGCATTCTGAGCCAAATTATTGGCTTGTCGATTCTCTGTTCTCGGTATATGCTCAATAACCACCTCCGCAATTCTATTTAAAAGACGATATACCAAATCTCTATATTAACGTCAATGAGGATAATTACAAGCGTACCGTCTTAGCACTTGATGGATGATCAATTGAGAATCTCCGCAAATCATGACCATCTGTGCCCCTTTAGCTATGAGTGCCTCAAGACCTAAGATCAACGCTTCATATTCTGCAGAGTTGTGAGTTATCTCTTCCATTTGAAGTTGCAGACTGATCTTCTGGACTCCCGGTCCTTCCAATACAACTCCTGCTCCTGACTTCCCTTTTGAACTAAAACCATCAAAAAACATTTTCATGGGACTAGTACCTATATACGGTACCATTTTATGTTCTACTGGTTTGTTGTTCATAAATTCAGCCAATAAGTCGGCCACTACCTGCCCTTTCACCGCTTTGATAGGTCGGTGCTGCAGCGCAAAAAGAGCCAGTCTGATTGCCCATTTCATTAACCTTCCCTGCATGGTTGGTCTGTGCAAAATTAATCTGATCAGATCCACTTTGGAAACCACTTCGGTTTCTCTTGGCAGAATGTAGTGCTCCAACCGAGTACATGCGAAGACTAAAGAATAGCACATTTTCTCGGGCATAGTATAATTCAACTCTGGTCCTGCCAGAGTTTTACTTAAATAATAAATAGCCCTTTCTTTACCATCTTCCCATTCTTGCGCGAGCAAACTACTTACCACATCGAAACTGTTTGCAACATACAGCCTAAGGGGTCGATCTCCTCTTCGGGGAACCAACACGGGTGGTTTTGTTAATGCCTGCTTGATTTCTTCTAATGCCTCTTGCTGCTCTGGACCCCAAGAAAAATCGGTTGCCTTATTCTTTAGCAACTTTGTGATGGGTTTTAACTTCCCCGCGGCATTTGATATGAACCTCCTTAAGTAGTTCACTTTTCCCAACAGGCTTTGAACCTCTTTTATCGTCCGAGGGGGTCGCATGGTCAGAACAACTTTAGTTTTGTTCGCATCAACCTCTATCCCCTTTTCATGCACAAGAAAACCTAGGAAATTTCCTGCCGAAACTCCGAAGGCACATTTAGTCGGGTTCATCTTCAAGTTGTACTGCTTCATCCGTAGGAAAGCATTTCTCAAATTGATCAGATGTGTTCAGAATCAGTAGATTTAAGGATCAGATCATCAATATACACCTCCATGGACTGCCCAATTAAATCGTGAAATATAGTATTCATTGCCCGTTGATAGGTTGCTCCAGCATTTTTTAAGCCGAATGGCATAACTGTCCATTCGTAGATCCCTAAGGCTCTTGGGCACCGGAACGCGGTTTTTGGTATATCTTCTTCTGCCAGTGAGATTTTATTATACCCCGCATAACCGTCCATCAGGCTTAAAATTCGATGTCCTGCTGCCGAGTCGATCAACATATCGGCTATGGGCATCACATACTCATCTTTAGGAGTGGCTAGATTGAGATCTCTGAAGTCAATGCAAATCCGAATCTTTCCATTCTTTTTAGTTACCGGGACGATGTTGGCTAACCATTCTGCATATCGACAGGGTCGAATGAACCTACTTTCAATAATTTCTCAATCTCTTCTTTGATCTGTGGAAGTAGTTCTGGGCTAACCCTTCTTGGTGGTTGCTTATATGGCTTGAACCCCTTCTTAATCGGCAACCTATATTCTATTAAATCATGTGCCAATCTAGTCATTTCTGAGTAATCCCATGCAAAACACTCCATATGATCTCGAATGACAGCTGCCATTTGCTCATGCTGGTTTTTAGTCAACAAATCACTAACCCTGACCATCTTGGGTATATGTTTGGTTCCTGCATTGTATTCAATGAGCGGATCCTGAGTTGACAAGGATGGTTCTGTTTTCTCCAGCATGTCAGGCCAACGAAAGCCTTTTCCCTCATCAACATTATTGTTGGAACCTTCCTCGTTGTGTAATCTAACCATTAATTGGTTTAAATAAAACTGCTTAATCAACAAGTTGCATTCACCTATCTCTTTCATAATTAAACTTTAATAAATCCAATGTTTTCGGGAAACAACAGAGCCATAAGAAAGAAAAATGTTTCTAATGAAACACATAACCCTGCGCAGTGAGCTTACAACTCTTCAAGGGAAACTCACCGCCACAGCTGTTTGTGAGATTGGAGATACATACTCAGAATAAAGTACGGACTCTTCCACAATTTCTGTAGAGCCGAACGGATTAGTGCTGGCATCCATTTTGAACACTTGATCTCCTTCCCAAAACATGATCTGCTGATGGAGAGAAGAAGACACGCATTTGGAAGCGTGGATCCAATCTCGCCCTAACAGGACCGAGTAAGTGGTGTTGGCATCTACCAAAAAGAACACCATTGAAATCACCTTCAGTCCGACTTCAATAGGGGCTACCATCATCCCTTCTGCTTTCGTTGGTTGCCCCGTGAAGCTTGTCATCTCGATATCTACTTGAGACAGATCACCAATTCCTTTTCCTAATTTCTTCAAAGTCTTGAGAGGCATAATGTTGAAGACAGTTCCATTATCTATGAAAACCTTGTTAATCGGCTTACCACAGATGTGAGCGTTAACATATAATGGTTTCAAGTGCGGGATTGCTCCTTCTGGTATAGGTGGAAAAACCATAGGTGGGGGACTGCTGTGTGTACATCCGGGACTACCAGCCATTGCCGCCCATTCTGGTTCCTCTTCCTCCAGCCTTGCCCAGATGGGCTCATTTTCTTCCTCGAACCACCGCATACCAGTCATCCTGACTTAGAACCCGACTTTATCGGTCTTCACTATCTTGCTGCGCAAAGCCCTCGTTTCCTTTGGAGCAAATGTCCCAAAGATTATCTCAGGGGCCTTTTCTTCAGCAGCTTCTATTTCGGGATCGATGTTGATCTGTCTACAGAATTGACACCGGAAACACCTAGCCTTCTTGATAGGCGTTTTGATCTCCTTGTGCTCCTGTAATCGGTCGCTCGAGTTTTTCCTTTTGGGTGCACCTCCCTCTTCTCCTTCCCTTTGTCTGCTCGCCTCCCGTGCCGAGCTGCATACCTGCGGTTAGCATTACGGATTTGTGTACGATTCATACCTGAAAATCGGGGATCTATGTCTATGGGTAGAGGCTTTCTGTTCCGACTCCATTTATCGTGGAGTGGTTGCCGCTTGCGCGTTGGTCGATCTTGCACTACCACTTTATCTTTCACCTCTACTTCGAAGGAACCATCCGTTTTGTCCCATTTCTCTGCCACCCCGGTTTCGCAGATCTTGAATTTGTCCTTCTAATCAAGCTCTCGCTCCTTTGGCTTACGCTCCTTCCGCTTGGAGTTTCTTTCATCATCTCTTTGTGTGTCTTGTGAAGAACGCACAGAGATTATTGCAGTAGTTACTTTCGGGAAGAGTTGTTGCTCTACTCCCATCGTCACATATTTGAACCTTCCAGCTTTGATCGCCCTCTGAATTTCCTTTCGGAAGTTCATACACTGGTTAGTGTAATGCGTAAAGGAGTTATGCCACTTGCAGTACGACCTTCCCTTTATTTCTTCCTTTGTCGCCAACTGCTGTCCCTTAGGAATGCGAATTTGACCATCCGCTAAGAGAATATCAAAGATCTCGTCTGCTTTGGATGCGTCAAAGGTCGGTTGCTCCCGCTCTTCCGCCCCTGGGAGGGGTTTCAGTTTGGAACATACATACGGCTTGCCATTCACAATATCTACCGCCATTTCTTCAACACCTTTCCCTTGTTCATTATCAGGTGTATATATCTCCGTATCAACACTGGCCATCTGCTGGACCTTGTTCCACCAGAAGTTGTGGTCTTTCTCTCCAAAGAGGGACTCTAGTCTCCCTGCTTTGGATGCTAAACTAGCCAAATCTCCGACATCATGGGCTGTCAAAGCCTCTCGCAGCCGCGTATGCATATTTCTGACCACTAAATTGGTCATTTCGCTCTCCTCAATGACTGTTGGGCAATGCCCTTTCATCAGTCGTATCCGCTCCATGAACTGGTAGGCGGTTTCCTCCGGCATCTGCCTAATCTCCAGAAGGTCAGTAAGTGAGACAGTCGGAAGAGGATTAAAAAACCTCGCATGAAAAGCCGCTTCTAAACCTTCCCAAGTTTGCAACTGTCCTAGTGGAAGATTGGAAAACCATGAGAAAGTTGTTCTTGTGAGGGACAATCCGAACAACTGTAATTTGTGAAA